ACTAGTCTTGAAACGTGTTCATTTAAGGCATTTTGAATATCTTAAAATATATTATTATTGGTAATTTCAGATAGCAATCCTCTTGAGCACTCAGAATATTTCATTATTATTCGAAATTTCAGATACTCATTTCCAAACTTGGAATACTAGTTTTTTGATGATTTGTATTTTGAAGTAAAATTCGCTCTCATGAATATTTGAAATAGTATCAGGAACATGAATATTAACGATAACCGCTACGCTGATGACGCATATGCTCCATCTTGAAGAGCGATAGAACATACCGTTAAAATGGAGCACTGAAATGAGAATGCATCTTATATCTCCTTTATCGTACACTCAAAAAAAAATTACTTCTGATCAGCAAAAAAGAAGTACTTCTACACGGAGAGAAATTTTTGATAAAATTTACCCTACCATTCTATAAAAGGGTATCATGAGTCATCGTTTCCTCATTTCTATCCCGAAATTTAGTAAAAAATAATATATGATGATTAAATTTTATTCTACGTTAGAGATATTTTATCCTGACGCATACTAAATTTCACCCTTCCAGTCCAATAATTTTTATGTAGATAACAACGAAAATTCTAGAACGGTTGGTGAATTTTACCCTATTGGTACAGTAATTTTTACTCTACCGGCATGGTAATTTTTATTTCTATCCAATAATTTTTATGTAGATAACAACGAAAATTCTAGAACGGTTGGTGAATTTTACCCTATTGGTACAGTAATTTTTACTCTACCGGCATGGTAATTTTTATTTCTATCCAATAATTTTTATGTAGATAACAACGAAAATTCTAGAACGGTTGGTGAATTTTACCCTATTGGTACAGTAATTTTTACTCTACCGGCATGGTAATTTTTATTTCTATCCAATAATTTTTATGTAGATAACAACGAAAATTCTAGAACGGTTGGTGAATTTTACCCTATTGGTACAGTAATTTTTACTCTACCGGCACGGTAATTTTTATTTCTATCAGGATAAAATTTCTCTAACGTAGAATAAAATTTGATCATCATATATTAATTTTTACTAAATTTTGGGATAGAAATGAGGAAACGATGACTCATGATACACTTTTTGTCATTCCGGCTGTGAGGCAGCGCTTCACGGACGCTCCGCTCCGCTCCGCGTCCGTGAATCTCTGCCTATGGCCGTCATAATAAAAAATACTGTTCGTCATATGGCCAAAAAAAACTTTTCTAGCTCATATGATTGCAGCCCTCGCTTTCGGCTCGGGCTGCAAACTCATATTCGCCAGAAAAGTTTCTTTCGGCCTAGTGACGAAATATACTATTTATAGAACGGTAGGATAATTTTTATCAAAAATTCCTTTCCGTGTACCGAGTACCAAGAGGTTTCTGGGGGAAAGGTAAATTTTGGAACTGCAAGTATCATGCGTCAAGTACCTGGGTACTGGTGAGAAGTACCTCGGTATTCGTCACAAGTAGTTTTGTTACTCGGGATAAGTAAAAAAAGTACTTGTACTGAGTAATTGGCTAGTACTTTCCAAAGGTACCAACAGAACTCAATATAAGTAGCAATATTATTCAAATCCAGTACTCATATTTTTTTTCAGGAATGCATTCAAGATTACAAATGAAGATCCAAATGCTGGAGCACAAGTGAACACAGAAAAATCTGAAGGTAAAATACGTTTTTGAAATGGTAATTCGCGTTTCAAAAATGTAATTTACAATTTTCTGAAAGGGATAAATTACGCTTTTGAGATCGTAAATTACGGTCAGAATAACGTTAATTACAATTTTAAAAACGTGAGTTACGATTATCAAAATTGGAAATCAATTTGATTTGAAAAGCACCCAAAAAATCGTAATCTACTGATTTTTTCGTTCAAAATATCTTCTCTTGAATACTTAATTTACAGAAATGCGCAAGAAAGCTCATTTTATCCGTCGATATTATTGAGTTTTCTCAATGAAGTAATCAATTGAAAGTACTGAAATTAAGTCATGAAAGTACTTGAGAGAAGTTCAAAAATTATGTTTCACCAGTACCTTTGGTACTTGTGAAAAGTACTTAAAGTACTAGCAGAAAGTAGCGAAGCTGCTTGTTCCCAGTCCTATTTCTACTTGAGCAGCAGAGGTGGTGCTTCACTCAGGGATATAAAAAGTACTTGGGACAAGTGTTTTTCGAACTTTTCACAAGTGAACTTCTCCCAAGTACCGGTCGGTATTGGAAGGAAGTGCATTTTCTTTGGGTGTATATCTCCTTGTTCATTGCAAAGAATCATTTTGAATTGACTGAAAATAGAGAATTACAGGGTGACATCAGTATCTTGCTCCCACATTTCAAAAAGCTACAGAATAGAAAATCGGAAATTCAATGGTATAAAAATAATTAAACCTCTATAATAGACGTAGATGTTCAAGTTAGAATTTTTTAATACTTCAGCCAATCTCATTGTGATTGACTACTGCCGTAGAGTACTGATCGCTCTAAATGTTTAATTGATATAGATTGAGCATAGCACAGCTCTTAATCGGGAATTAATTAAACATAAATTCCACGGAAAGTTCAGTTTCATTCCAGCATCAAAAGCGATCACACAAAAGGGCTCACTTGTCGCGGTAACTTAGTATCTAATTCCGGAATCAGTTATCTATTTTGCGCTCCACGTTCACTACAGTAATCCGAGTATCATGAATCTCGTAGTGGATTAATTAATTAGACAAGAATGATTTGGATAAAGATAGAAAACTACATTAAGGCCGTACCTTTAGTTACAGTTTCATTAATATGATATCGATTCGACAATCAATGAAACTTCAATTCAACCTTATTTTCCAAATAGAATTTTAAAATAAATTCGGTGTGATGTAATTGACATAATATTGTCGAGATGAGTGAATGACCATTATCTTGATAACTATAATTTATTTCCATGATCTGTTCTCCTTCGGGCATACCCGTAGAAAAAAATACCCGAAAAATTACTGTGCTAGCAGAGTAAAAGAGTGTTACCAGATTGTGACGTCATCCCATTTCTCTGATTTATCTCGAAAAAGTTTTGTATTTCGCAATAAAATTTTTGGTGCTTGTACGTGAATTTTTTGGGTCCATCAGACAGAACTCATTTTACCGTGCTGCACAGTAGTTTTTCATAGAGGAGGCAATACCTGAACCACTCAGCAGCCACTACCGCTCACCTCCATGTTCTCCACATGCTCTCCATAACCACTTATTTTTCCCACACTGTCTCTCAATCCATATGAGAACTCTACTATTGCGTAATTTTTCTAGACCAGTACGTAATGTTTTTCACTATGATAATAGCATTATCATCCAATAAAATTGTGATCAATCGCTTTATAATTCTTTTTCACATCATTTGACACTGAAATTTTTTTTTTTTCGTCTTTTAATTACTAACTAGAGAATGTTTTCTCAAATTCCGGCGATGCTGCCAATACCGCTCAATGCCTGACAGCTCACGTGTGCCATTGTTTGTGGCCGGAAAAAATTATGCAAGCACAACATAATTAGTAATTCCTCTTATAAAAATCTATTTTAACAGATATTTTCGGATTATGAAAGAAGAATTTGAAAATAGAAATGGTTGTGACGTTCTATTTAAGCCGTCAATGCACTGTTTGAGAGATTAGGTGACTCGTTCGGATGATTACAACGAATAAATATTCAAACGTATAACTCTTCTAAAAAACAGTAAAATGGTCAATCGAAATAAAGCTGTAATATTTTATTATTATTCCCTCAAAAAAATGGAATAATGATTGAAGTACCATTCTCATATTTTCACAATATAATTTTGTTCTTATGCAATAAAATCTAATTTCCATTCATTTCATCGAATCATCCAACATCGGAGATTTTTTTATTTTGAAAGCTATTGACTAGAGGTTAATTACTGAGCGACATAGGAATCAGACTGAGCGGTATTAGCTGCATGTGGTCAGTACCGCTCACTCAGCTCGTATCTTCATTTTTTGTTAATTCATCGGAATTGAAACAAGAATTGAGGATCCAAGACTTTTCAATATCTACACTGTTGAATATTATCGTCTGAATTTTTCGGGCCAAATTCCGGAAATTTTTTTTTCATTCAAGTTCCACTGAAATTTCAGGAAATGTTGTGATTGAAAAATCAAATATTCCATTGATTTTCTATTCAAATGAGCTGGAAATCAATAAAATGCTTGATTTCTCAATTCAATTATTCTGTGAAAATTCAGAAAAATTCGGAAAATCCAGGGGAAAATTGAAAATTTATGTCATTTTGTTTCTGAATATTCATGTTCCACTGAAAATTCAATCAAGTGGTGAAATTTCCATCTTACTCCCACTGAAAACTCATGAATTTCCGTGAATTCTACTTAAAACTTGAAATTTCATAACTATTTTTCCTCTAAATCCGATTCAATGTCACTCTCATGAGATTTACTATAATATCTTCCATGAAATTTCAAAAAATTTCTAATAGTGTAGCTGAATAGCCAAATAATGCCATGCACTTCATTCTTTATGTTTTTGTTAATTGGGATAAATATTCTTTCTCCTGTGTCTATCCCAATTATGGTTTGGGATGCAAACATTATCGATATTCCTTAGGTGAGCGGTATAGACACCACTTCCCCTACATTTATATCTCTATGTATGAAGCCTATGAACCATTGGTAATCTCGGATATTATTCAGGTTGAATTATACACGGTCCATAAATTCTATTTTTCAATCCGTCGAAGGAGAAACTATGGATTGCTTGATTTTCGATCTAAAGTATAATCCCATTTTATTCGGATCAAGTCGCGTGCGCGTATAATGATGTCCAGCGTTGACGGCAAAGCAGAATAATAAATATCCTGTCACATAATATTGAGATCAATATCACAATGAGCAGCAGAGCATGAATATTCACGATTGTCAACTCTTATCGTTCATGTTTATAATGCACATTTTTACCTTTAAAACCAATGTAACGTCAGTGACATTAGTCAGTGGAAAATATTTTAACAAACCAGCAAAAATGTATCCTAGATTACTTTTATACGTTGCACACATTTGCTTGCTCAATGTCGCGTTATCGAAAGATCTGGACAACATCATCATAGTGTTTTCGTCCGGAGCAATTACAGCAACTAAAGTACCGAATGAATTGAGAATCTATTATCATCATCCTGATTTTGTTAAAGGGGATACTTTGAGAGTGTATGATGTCGAGCCTAAATCGTGGCGAGAGGCAACACCAAGATTCGTGAAGAAATTAAAAGGCGTCAGTAAATTTGTGAGGACTGGTCTTCGAGCGCCGCCGCCCTTTGGAATGGGTGAGTATGAACTGAAGTATGGTTCAGCATTCGTTATAATCAAGTTATTGGAATACCTTATACCAGTGCCTAGAATTGACTGTAACGAGTAATACTGAATAAAATTGGTCAAATGAACTTCAAAAATCTACACCGAAAAACAAGTTTCCGAGAACTACAACACTCTTCTATAATTCAGATCCTTTTCTCTTGATTTGAAGAAACTTTTGCAGTTTGAAAAAATTTGGGGATGTAAATGAAATGCAGGAAAATTATTTTCCAACATATTGCGGAATCTCAACTGGAAAAACAAATCAGGGTGTAATAACGGACTGATTAGTAAAAACTGCAGGGAGAAAAAAGTTGGAGAAAAACTACCGAACAAATCAAGTAACCGGGAAGAGAACTCATTTTTCAGTACTTTTTTGCCCTATATTGGGTAGAAAATGCGAGACCAATAGTGAATTTTTCTTCGTTGACCCAAGAAAATTTACTGAACGTGAGGATAATTCGCGCTGAAACTGTAAAAGTTACCCTGCATTCCATCAAAAATAATCCCAGTGAGTGTGAATTTTTCTGTAACGGTGAATCATTTTTTACCCAACGCGTTCAGTAAAATTTCACATGCAAGAAAACGGGGGCAATTTCACGGAGGTAAGAAAAAGATACCTTACTGGTGTGAGGAATTTTACTGTCCAGGAGAATAATTTTTGGATCCATAGATGTTTCTTTTACCGAAAGAATCCGAAAATGTCCTCCACAAACAGGAATTTTTTTATTGAATTACATTTCGCTTCACCATTATCTTTCGTACAGTAAAATTTGCCACGATCTCCTAGGTATTTTTCATCCAAGTTTTATCTCCGTGTGTTTTTGATCAGGTTGGATAAGGGATGTAACACTTATTTGGATCCATGCCTGATCAAAATACTAGGATCCGATCTGTCTGATCAACATCTGATCCGATGCGGATTCAGTCAGAATACATGATATATGATATCGACCCACGTGAATGTGAACGCTTGTTCTCAAAATTTGTTATTTCCAAATTTATGAAGAGTAAATTGATCAGACAAATAAAGTTGGAAACCGGAATACTGTAGCTTCAATTCGATACCGGTTTTATAATTTTCCATTCATTAGAAATACTTGAATTCGACAGAAGGCCGCGTCCATGAAGAGTTAATCACGAAAACCTGACCAATATCGGAATTAGAACTGATTTCGATCCAGGCCAACAGCGAAGTTTCGGATAGATCAGATAGAGATCCGATACGAGTGAGGATTTCTTTGATTAGCCGTTCAGATCAGGATCTATTGTTTGAACAAAGTATCCGAATACACTGCGATGAACTGAATTCCGATTCAATTCTGATCAATCAAACCTCGATTGGATTTGTATTGGATCCGGAACTGATCAGAAGGATCGGATTTCAGCATTTCAATCAGATATGGATCCAGACAAGCGTTACATTTATGATGCAGAACTGATTAAAATCCATTTTAACTGATCAGTCCCTTATTCCACGCCTGAAAAAAGTTAATAGAAAAACCTATCGAATTCGTTAGAAAATTCTATTAAATTTCTATTAAAGTTTCTACTAGTTTTTGACTGATTCTATTGACATGTTCAATAGAAAATATTCAATAGAAAAAGTCAACAGAATTCTATTTTTCTATATAACTTATTCCTTTCATATATTTTGTATAGAATTTGCTGGGCTTAAATTTTCTAAGTTTTTTCATTCATTTATCTTTTCTTCTCATCAAGAAAATCAAACGAAAAAACTTAAAAAATTTGAGCCGAGGAAATTCTATAGAAAATATCTCAATAGAATAAGTTATACAGAAAAATTGAATTCTATTGACTTTTTCTACTGAATATTTTCTATTGAACATGTCAATAGAATCAGTCAAAAACTAATAGAAAGTTGAATAGAAATTCAATAGAATTTTCTAACGAATTCGATAGGTTTTTCTATTAAATTTTTTCGTCCGTGTCTAGCCAAATTTGATTTTCTCCTCTGAAAAGTATAATCAAGAACTTCTGACTAGTATTGGGTCTAAAGCTGATGTAGACCCAGGTCAATTGAGTGAAATTTCCATCCGAGATATTACAAAAATTATCTCACCAAGTTGAATCGTTTCTTATTCCGAAAAGAAAAATTTTTCTCACTAAGTCGAAAACGACTATTTTCGATTCGACTTCAAGGATTACATTTTGTATTGATTTCAAAAATGTTTCAGATAAGTATTACGCGATGATCATCCGAAATGATACCTCTCTAAAGCGCTACAGTGATCCGGGACGATTCCACTGGATGGAAGATCGTAAAGCTTTGATCGAAAATTTGAGTCTGCCTAATCTTTTCATACCCGGCACCCACGATTCTGGGTCCTACCAGCGTCCTGGTAAAGATGGAATTCTCAAGAATCTTACTGCCAATTGGGCCATTTGCCAGGTTTGCTATGATTAAATGTTAAACCCATTGAAAAGCTCAACGAAAAATAATTTTGTCAGCCTAGCAAATACTTGTTCGCTGAGATCTGCTTTGCTAAGACAACTAAAAATTATTGTTAGTACGCGAGTTGACCATGAAAAAGACCATGCTGACCATGAATTGCCAAGAAAATGAAGAAAAAAAATTAATCCAGGCGAGGGTCGGGCAAAATGGGAGGTGTTGAGATCTTTTCCAATTCTCCACATATTGACAACTTTTCATATTGACAACTCGAGAAGATCACGAAACGTCCCCTTTTGCACGACTCTCCTCTTTATTTTAATATTTTTACTGACAATTTAATTGAAAATCGCAATTCGTTTATTTAATTAAACATGTTCCTTAAATTTGTAAATCAATTGTAGTGCCCCGCCTGCTATAATCCTCTTGTTATTCTAACAAATCAGATCCAAACAAATGACACCCGCTGAGGTTGCTCACACATTTGTCTGTCCGTATATTAACCTACGAAATTTGCTGGATTCACGTGCGGCGCGCTAATCCAACGAGATTATTTTACTGCCTGTGTATTCCTGTGCTATAACGTCCGGTTACACATGCCCACCAACGAAATGGCGATGAAACAGACTGTGATGCTGTTCGATCGGTTAAACAAATTTTCTAATCTCACTAACTTACATGAGTCGATATTTTCATAGGACGCATCAATCTACGAGCAATTAGAATCGGGCGTGCGATTCCTTGACATAAGACCCGCGTGCAAAAAGGTGAGGGGTTCCTGTAACACCTTTTATGTGAACCATGGACCCGTACAAATGGTCCCCATGAGCCAAGTTATCCATGATGTTGACCTATTCTTGAACCAAACTAAAGAGATAGTGATCCTCTCTGTGAAGCAATTTCCAAGTGGTGAGTATTGACACTGCATTTGGTAGAGCAAGAACTGTTGTAGAAAAGTGGTAGGTGTACTGTCCAACTGACTAGACCGTTCCCGTGGTTTTCAGACGAGGAAGATATGGATGTGAGTGAAAATTAGGGTAAGTAGGGATAGCCGCAAGTATGCACTGAGAGAGATTTCAATGGTAACTTCAATTACAAGGAAATTGTCAAAAAAATAATAGTTACGGTAACAATAAACATTGTAGATTCAACCATTACATTAAAGTGAAAATTACCTTATAATGTTGATGACACTATTTGACATAGTAAATCGAACGATGAATCCTAGTTTAATCCACAAAGTTTATTGTTACTGTAAATATAATTTCTTTGACAATTCCCTTGTAGTTAAAATTACCATTGAAATTTTTCTCAGTGTGGAAAAATCGTATAGAAATTTTCTATACGGAGTGCATATAGAATTTCTGTGGGATTTTCGTGTATATGATATTCGGATATTTCTATATGGATATATTTATACAAATCATTTCTATACGATTTCTATAGGTTTGATCCTATACGATCCACTGTCACATGTATAGAAACATTTCGTATGAAGTTGCGACATTTCTCTACGTTTTCCTTTGCAGCGTTTAGACATCTTTCATATGAAAACAAAAATTTATGTAAAAATTTATGTATAGAAATAATAGTTATAGAAATATCCGAATATCATAAACGGAAATCCTATAGAATTTTTATACGCAATTCATATAGAAAATTCCTATACGATTTTTTCATACGTGCACGAAGGGAATGGACTAGTCAGTCTGCATGTACCATAGATCGGCATCAATAATTATTTTAGTAATATTATAAGAAGTTGCACCTTGCAGTAATTTAGATTTGTTTATCGTAATTGAAATTTGAAAAATGATATAATTATTGGTAATTTAATTTTTCAATTATTGGTTGATAAAATAATTCGGAATTTGAATATTTAAATTGATGATTATTTTTAGAATCAAACGATTGGTGAGTAATATTGACATTTGGCTTATTCCAAATTTAACTGTAATTCAACATTTCGATTATGCTGATGTCTGGCCTGTACTCGTTTCTCGTTGTTTCGAAGATGGGCTGTTTGGAAACAAGTGGGAAATTGCTCTTGTATTGTATGGAGTTTCGTTGTTTTTGCTAATAAATTAGCAATATGCTTTCGAATGATGATTTTTCACATAATTTCCTTCTATCATGCATAATTCATTTTCAACTTAGTTGAATGTTATCAGCGTCATTATTCATATTATCCCTTTTCTTCTACACAACCGATTATCTTTTTTACAGTTCTATCTCTCCCTTCAGCCCTTTAATAAAATATTAATAGAAAAATTTTATTTACACATACTTGAATGAACTTGAAACATCTCATTTGAAGAAACCATCAGAACGCTCACTTTCAGGAAAATTCATGAAAAATTCAAAATTTTCAACAATCATAAATTTCTTTTTTTTAATTGTTAAAACACATTCAAAACATTTTCATGTCAAATTTTCGATTCTTCCAGTCAGGGATAGCCAAATTTATAATATTGAATTACCGTTAAACATTGTAGCCATCAATTAGTTAACATCACTCTTAAATTTTTTGAGTACTCCAGTCTTATCAATTCAAATACTTCAATTTTTAATTATTTTATCAATCAATAATTGAGATAGGAAGATTGATAATTATTCGTGTAATCAAAAATCCCCTTTTAAGAAATTTGAATTATTCACTTAGTGGTAAATTTATAGTTTCATATTAACAAATTTTAAATACATCATTATTCGAGAAAAATCAGATTATTAATATTATATTATTTGAAAAATTGGATCAACATATTTTAAATCTTCATTAATGTAAGAGCCAAATTCTTGTGACATTACAGAAATTTAATATTGATGGCGATCCCTGCTTCCAATCAAATGCCAAATATTTCAGGTTTCGACAATGAAAACGATCACATACGCTTCATGAAGTACTTGAAAGGGGAATTAAGTCGACATATTTTTGAGCATTCACGTGCTAAGAAGGGCTGGACAACTCCATTGAGCGAGTATTGGTCCCAAAATAAGAGACTGATAATATCGTACACTGAGAAGGACTATCTGGACTCAGAAACGTTCTGGCCCGGCATAGAACAACGATGGTGTAACTGTCGAGAATTTTCCACTCTCCATGACTTCCTTGATTCTCCAGCCAAGTGGTAATTATCAATCTAGTACGAGAGTGGCGATACGTACCAAATCGACTATTCACATCTCATCATTGCCGAAATTAATCGGAGTGACGAGTGATTAATGAGCGCTTAATTACTATAGAACACTTAATTAAGATTAATGAGTGCTTCTACTTCTTATTTTTTGAATGAATTCAGTTCTTTTCTTTTTGTTTCGCGTCTGCCTGCCACATTTTTCTCTAAATCTCATAATTTCTTCGAAAAATTGGGAGAATTTTCGATCAAAAAACGTTTTGATTTTTTTTAGGCATTTTCGATCGTGTCAGAGCAAAACTAAGAATTTCAAAATGAAAACGTTCAATCTTGAGATTGATTGCGTCATCTGTTGTTGAAAAAATTTATTTTGAATCTAATATTCCGGAAAAGGTAAAAAAATTCAACATTGGGACAATGCTGGATGTCAACATTGGGGCAATGTTGACCGCCATTGTTAGGGTAATGTTGGCTGTCAGCGTTGAGGCAAGGTTGAATTCAGTGAATTATTGAATTAAATTTAAAATACATCATCATACAAGTTCCATTCGGAAGTAAATTACTAATTTATTAGAAAAAATATATCGACGAGCGGGTTATGAAGAAAGCAATTGTCCATTATTTCTATGTAAGAATTAAAAAAAAAAAAATGTCGAAAATTTTGGAGCCGGATGTCTCAACAATGTTTGGTGAAATGACCCATATACATTGTAATCAAGTCTGGGACTACTTGACTCATTACTCTCTTCTCCGCTATACACACGGGATGAATGCGAAATAAATAAAAATGCCATTTGACTCATTACCCTTTACCACTGCACAACAGAATCAAAAACATTTAATATTTTCTCTCTAATCCCAAATTATATTGTTTCATTTTCATACTTCGAAGGAACTCGACCGTAGTCCCCGTAGCAGACATGGCTGAATTAACTCATAATGTGGGGAGCGTTGTGACGGATCTCACGCCGTTGACAGACAATAGTATACGTGCCTGGGCAGATGAAGCTGGGGAGTTCATTCCGGAATGGTATCACGAGGAATTTAATGCATCCGCTAATATTGTTGCAGTTGATTTTCTCCATGCCAGTGGAATCGTAGATCTTGCCATCTGGTGGAATGAAAAAAGGGCCCAATGGGCTCGCCGTTAGGGGTCTGAATGAGAATTTAATATCGATGACGGAGGAAAAGAAAATCACTACTGATACTTGAGTTTTCAAGAAATATCTGTTAATCTGAGAGATAGTGAAATTAATGGAGAGACCTTTTGGGTAGCTCTCATTTACCACTAAAAGAACGATCTTCAGAAACATTTTGCTACTTCCCCTTAAGGGGAAATGGGACCCCTGTCTATATGAGCTTTAAGAATTGTGTTTTCTCCTAAAATTATAAGTTTTTATCTTTGGAATTACTTTCTTGACTTGATCATTGATTATTGAGTCAATGAAGTAGTTTCATAAATAAATAATAATAATTGTAGGGGAAAACACAATTCTAAAAGTTCCTATAGACACAGGAGTTCCGTGTCACCTTAAGGCATATATTCCAAGACAATACCATCCAGAAGTTTGTCTCTATAGGTTGCCGGAAAAAATCTAAATTGCTTAATTTTTTGCATGCTCATAAGTTATTGAGTTTTCCTATCCTCATAAGTTCTTGATGAAGGTAACAATAAGTGTTTGAATCAAATAAGAAATTATATGTTAATTAATTGTTTGAACCAAGTAACTGATTTCATGAAATTTCATTTTTTCAAGTTAAATATTACAGAAACTATGTAATATATACATATACATTTTTTTCTTCTCGTATACCCTTTCGGGTCTTTACGATTTGTTCCCTTCCCACCGCCCAACCCCCTGTACCGCATTCGTCGCAGGACAAGGGAAAACCTCATTTGAGGGAAAAACCTGCCCAGGTAGTTTTCTTGCCGTCTCTTGCGAGACTCCCGCTCAACAATGAAACCGTGAGATTCAGAGTGTCACAAATTTTGGCCCCCCAAGCCGGGAATCGAATCCGGGTCTACTATGTAATATAAAATTTTACAAAAAAAATAAATGTATTCGTAATTTATCAATCTACCACAGACTCGTTTTGTCAGGACATCGTAAGAACCGTGTTCTCATACACTGAGAGAAAAATATAATTCTTCTGACTATATTCCATCACCATCGAATTATAGTCAAAAAGTCCTCAACAATTTTAGTAGTCATTGCAACTATTTTATAGTTCTCCTCACGATAGATTTGTCGTGGTTACTTTTGAACTTTGGTTAGTTTAACTGCATTTTGATTTGCAAAAATTACGCTTGTGAAATTACTATAATGTTATGTGCCGCATACAAAAAAAAATCGTATCGTTCACCAAAATGCCTCAACTATATTCTTGTTGTAAATCGAACTTTAGATTTTTCTCTCAGTGTAAGATGGAAAAATCGAGTCCGGGGGAACCCATAACTCCCGTTTGGCCTATGCTTCGCGTGATAGGAGCCCGCATTTCATTATTTTTGTCATTCCGGCCGTAAGGCAGCGCTTCACGGATGCTAATAAAAATATTGTTTGTCACGCGGCCTAAAAAAACTTTTCTCGCTCATATGATTGCAACCCTCGCAGTCGGCTCGGGCTGCAAACTCATATTCGCCAGAGATAGTATTTTTCCGGCCTGTTGCGATGGGGTTTTTTACTTTTTAAAAAAACCCCATCGCAACAGCCCAGAGGAATATTTTTCTGTAGCGATTTTCAAGTTTTCGAGTTTGGGAAGTATGTAATACCAATTCCCAGACGAGAAATCGCGAGAAGCAGTAGAGAAAAGTTTTTTTTGGCCTAATGACGACATAGTGTATAGTATATATATACTGTATACAATAGTATATAGCTACGCGTCCGCAAAACGCTGGCTTACGTCCATAATGACAAAGTATACTATTTCATCACACTGTCCCTAAAACGTCGTTTGACGGACACAAAGTGAAAATTCATTGAATGCCTAAAGTTGTTTAGGCGGTGTTGTCTGGCGAATTTGGAGAGATGTCCGCAGTTCCCAGTAGCTTGGTTGGGAGAGTGCCCGGCGCGTAACTGGGAAACCCGGGTTCGAATCCCGGCTGGGTAGTGCGGGATTTTTTCTCTCTAAATTCTAATTCTCTTTGAATTTTTTTTTACGGACATTGTGAAGAAAAATTATGTTCGTTACCCGATTCCTCGGCTTCCCCTCGGTCTGCAACATTCACACTTGTCAGAAAATAGATTTTTTGGCCTTGTGACGAATATAGCTATTATTACTGAGAAAAAAATATAATTCTGCCAATCGAATTTTTTTTAGACAAATAAATGCCTGCAATTTCCATATAAAATCGCCATATAAATTCTTGTCTGAAACATATTTAATAAAGCTGGTTGGTATTTTTTCAATAGCTGGGGAATATTATAAACATTATCTATAAAAAACATGGGGCAGTAAGAAAAACCTGTTTTCTAGGGTGTTATATACTCTTACCTGACTAAGCTTCCTTCCACGTTCCCGGCGTAGCGTATGATTGGGCTCTCCCCACTCCAGCGCCGAAGAAACAAGTAGAAATAGTAATCAGGTTAGAGGGTCGATCCACACGGAGAAAAAAGTTGGATAAAATTGACCTAGCGAATGCTGGCAAATTTTACTCTACGAAAGGTAATCGTGGAGCGAAGTATAATTCAATGATAAAATACATGTTTGTGGAGGATATTTTAGGATTCGTGCGGTAAAAAAAATACAAAAAAAAATACAATACAAAATCTATGCAGGCAAAAATTTTCTGAGGATAATACAGTAAAAATTTCCAAATTTTTCGCGTTTGTAGAGTAGAGTAAAATTTATGAAATTCAAAATTCATTTCAGTAGCGATGTGGTAAAATGGTTTACGTCGACTTATCTCCTAATTGAGTTTTTAAGGAATATATTCGAATGTAAGGGAGATAGCGAAACTTTCGTAATTACATTTGTTGTAGCTCTCACTTAGCTCTACAAAAAAGGTTATATAAAAAATTTTGTTATCACCCTTAGATTCCGAGATATTCATTGAAAACTGGTCAATAGTCTAAATGGACTTAAACCGTTTCACCACTTCGCTACTGATTTATTCATGATCTATTGGGAATAAAGTAAAATGGATGCTTAACTTTATTCTTCGGAGTGTAACGAACATTCAAAAAAAAAACTAAAACCATATGAAAACTATGCCGTACGGAGCATTTTGAAGGTAAACAGAGGAAAAAATGAATTTTTTGTGGTTATACGGGGCAAAATCGCTCGGGTCCACAATCTTCCCTAGTTATTCTCATATGTCGTCATATATCACAAACTGTTCAATAAGTCTCCAGGCCCAGTGAAGACTTTTAAATTTCATGGACGTATCCCCTTAATGTTAATAAAAAATCTGTCCTCTTCACATCTTCGACAAAACACCTCGAAGAACCCATTCTAACCGTTTATGACTCCTTGTAGAGTGCGAGGCCGAACAAAAAAGACTGATTTCCCTCAGGTGGGCGATACATGCACCAGCTCCCCTACTACGACAATTATGTTTTCGTAGAAACTTTCTGTTTCGTCCACAAATAAATTGATTCTACACGACAAAATATCTCTTCAGGGCAATATAATTTTTCGGCAGAACAAATTTTTTCTCCCAGTGCACTTACAGTGGTATCTCCATTGCAAAAATATCAAAGATGACTAGCAGAAGGTTCCACAATATCTGCGATGTTCTTTTATAGATTTATATTGTTTCTTCATGCATGAAAAGTTTCTTATGCTGAGGATGAGAATCTCTTTTTCTTTGTGGATAAGGGTCACTTGATATTGTTTGCATGGAACTGTTTTCTCTAGTAAATAATAGTTGTTTGATTAAAGTGAATCATCCCAAGTGTCCACCCGTGGTTCAATCAATTACCCAATCATGCTTTCATCCAGGCACCCAATGGCCTTTTACCCTCGCCCACACCCTGATCTAATTATTGTCGTGGCTTACCCGGGGCTGAGGCACACCCCTTGGATAATATCTCAGGGATACGTCTCGGATCTAACAATAATTAAAGAAAAAGAAAGAACATCAAAGGAAATGGAATTCTCTCATGAGAGGAAGAATTCTTTGTACGAATTGAGGGCAATGTGTAATCGAATAAGAAATTCACTTAATTTCTTAATTTGTGATAGGAAATTTTTAGTTTACACTGTTAGAAAATACTGAAATGTCATGGACATTTCAAAAACGGAAGAAAAATCATAAAACTCCAAATTTCACTAAAAATTTAATGGAATGCCATATTTTTGAGTAACATGAAGATAAAATTCACCAACTTACTTGAATTTTGAATCAATTGAAGATTTTTATCCAAAATTGCAAGTACTTAAAAAAATGAATTTTTGTAAAACTGAGAGATGAAGATATTCTTTTCACTTTGATACAAATTTCAATCCACCAACCCATGTTCACTATTTATAAATGAAATAGACAAAATGCAACAAATGCATGCGCTAACATACGCTTACATGAGATAGAATCATTGAAATATTTCCTCTTTTTGCCTGGGTACCCCAGATTTTTCTCCGGCCATTGGATTCATTACGATTTTACACATTACCTTCTATTTTTATTTCAATTTTTAGAGTCTTCTAGTAGGTGAATTATCAATTTCAACATAAATTTCATAACAGCCCGTATATAAGGAAAAATTATTTTATTCATTTCTGCCGAGACTATTGCGATTAATTCTTTTTTAACGTAAGAAAAGTTAGAAAAGTTAGTTAAGAAAGTTTATGTGTTCTGCTGTCAGCCGAAAAAATTACTGAATTTTCCTTGACCATGAAAAAAAACACATTTACACATTTACCAACAATTTACCGACACTGGCTAGATATTCTTAAAAATTCGAGAATATACTTACTTGAACTTACCTGATTGCTGGAAAATGAATATCAATTTTGATGGATTAAGCGCAGTGATAAGCATATCAATCAATCATAATTACCGTTAAATGGTGAAGTTGTCAATTTTTAACATAAATCTTAAAATAGTGATGCCGTCGAAACTAGTCGAGAATTATTTTGAAGAGATCATCACGGTCTGGAAAAACATCGAAAGTTTTGGAATCGTCGCAATCTCGAAAGACATTTGATCGGCGCATCTCGTCACAATTCCGGGAGGATTTATCTTGCCTGGATCTCGAGATTTTCGGTTTTTTTAGTTCACGAGACGAGACAGATATCGAGACAAATATTTGAAAAACAGAAAATTCTGAAACTAAGACGTGATGGATTCTTCCAAGTTCGTGACGAGATGCACCGATTTAATGTCTTTCAAGATTACGACGATTTCTAAACTTTCGATGTTTTTTTAGACCGTGATGATCTTTCCAAAATAATTCTCGTCTAGTCTCGACGGCATCACTATCTTAAAATTTTAAATTTTAAAGTAAACATCAATTTGTACATTTAAATTTCAAAATTTTCTATCAACCAATAATTTAGGTAGGAAGATTGCCGATTATTTGGATAATCGAAAATCAAGTATCTAAATTTAGAATTAGCTTGTTAACTAAAAAATTACATTTCAGCATTATCAAATATTTTATTCACCATCAATCGAAAAATTGAGCTAATAAATTCTATAATATTTTAAATTTGTTAAATATAGTTAAACTTTGAACAATATAAGGATATAATCCCTTTCTAATATTGTCAAAATCTAATATTATTACCTATCTCTGATTAAGCGAACTAAAAATTAAACTGTCCATTGATTTTTTCAGTTTCAAGA